AGGTCAGGAACTAGAAGGCAAAGAAAGAATGCTGAAGACAAGCCTGGCTTGCTTCTACCATGACTGTGGGCTGTCTCACACCTGGAAAAGAAAGAGAAATCACTTTACCCTTCCTTTGTGTTCCTTAGCCCCTTGGGCAAATACCGATTCATTGCAAGTTAACTAGGAGTTTGTGGAGTGAAGGGAGAGCCCAACCCCGTGTATACGGCTGGTCCACTCAAAGTGTATACAAGCATACCTTGTTTAATTGCACTTTCCATTATTGTGCTTCACAGATGTTTCATGTTTTGCAAATTGGAGATTTGTGGCAACTCTGTGTTGAGCAAGTCTATCAGCGCCATTTTTCCAACAGCATTTGCTCACTTCATGTCTCTATGTCACATTTGGTAATTCTTGAAGTATTTCACATTTTTTTATTGTTACTATATTTGTTATGATGATCTGTGATCAGTGATCTTTGATGTACTATTGTATTTGTTTTCGAGGGTCATGAGCCACACCCATATAAGAGAACGGACTTAGTAAGTGTTGTGTGGGTTCTGACTGCTCCACAAGCTGGCCATTCCCCTGTCTCTCTCCCTCTCCTCAGTTCTCCCTTTTCCATGAGATGCAACAATATTAAAATCAGGCCCATGAATAACCCTACAATGACCTGTAAGTGTTCAAGTGAAAGGAAGAGCCATGTGTCTCACGTGAAATCAAAAGCTAGAAATGATTAAGCTCAGTGAGGAAGGTGTAGCAAAAGCTAAGAGAGGCCGAAAGCTAGGCCTCTTGTGCGAAACACCCAAATTGTGAATGCAAAGGAAAAGTGCTAAGGAAATTAAAAGTGCCACTCCAGTGAACACATGAATGATAAGAAAGCTAAACAGCCTTGTTGCTGATAGGGAGAAAGTTTGAGAGGTCTGGATAGAAGATCAAACCAGCCACAACATTCCCGTGAGCCAAAGCCTCACCCAGAGCAAGGCCCTAACTCTCTTCAATTCTGTGAAGGCTGAGAGAAGTGGAAAAGCTGCAAAAGAAAAGGGCGAGGTTAGCAGAAGTTGGTTCATGAGGTTTAAGAAAAGAAGCCATCTCTAGAACATAAAGGTGCAAGGGGAGGCAGCAAGTGCTGACGTAGAAGCTGCAGCAAGTTACCCAGAGATCTAGGTCAGGTACTTAATGAAGGTGGCTGCACTAAACAACAGATTTTCAGCATAAATGAAACAGCGTTCTATTGGAAGAAAATGCCACCTAGGACTTTCATAGTTAGAGAGGAAAAGTCAAGGCCTGGCTTCAAAACTTTAAAGGACAGGCTGACTCTGTTAGGGGCTAAGGCAGTGGTTGACTTGGAATGGAAGCCAGTGTTTCTACACTCTTCCAAAATCTCTAGAGCCCTTATGAATTATGCCAAATCTACTCTACTTGTGCTCTATAGATGGAACGCAAAGCCTGGATAATAGCACATCTGTTTACAACTATGATTTACTGAATATTTTAAACTAGATCTACTGCTCAGAAAAAAAAAAAATCTTTCAAAATATTGCTGCTCATTGACAATGCACCTAGTCACCCAAGAGCTCTGATGGAGATGAACAATGAGGTTAATGTTGTTTTCATGCCTGTTAACACAGCATCCATTCTGTAGCCCATGGGTCAAGGAGTAATTTTAATTTTGAAGTCTTTACTATTTAAGAAATGTGTTTTGTAAGGCTATAGCTGCCATAGATAGTGATTCCTTTGATGGATCTGGGAAGAGTAAATCAAAACCTTCTGGATCGGATTAACCATTCAAATGCCTTAAAGACATTTGTGATTCGTGGGAAGTGGCCAAAATATTAACATTAAGAGGAGCTTGGAAGAAGTTGATTCCGAGCCTCATGGATAACTGGGAGGGGTTCAGGACTTCAGTGGAGGAAGTCACTGCAAATGTGGTGGAAATAGTAAGAGAACTAGAACGACAAGTGGGGCTTGACGATGTGACCGAATTGCTGCAATCTCAGGACAAAACATGAACAGATGACGGGCTGCTTCTTATGGATGAGCAAAGAAAGTGGTATCTGGAGTTGGAATCTACTCCTGGGAAGATGCTGCGAAAATTATTGAAATGACAACAAGAATTTAGAATACTACATAAGCTTAGTTTATAAAGCAGCAGCAAGGTTTGAGAAGATTGATTCCAATTTTGAAAGTTCTACTGTGGGTAAGGTGCTATCACACAGCATCATGTGCTACAGAGGAATTGTTCATGAAAGGAAGAATCCGTGGATGAGGCAAACTGCATTGTTGTCTTATATTAAGAAATTGCTACAGCCACCCCGACCTTCAGCAACCACCACCTGCACCCCAGCAGCAGGACCCTGTACCCCAGGGTCCTGATGAGTCAGCAGCAAGACCCTGCACCCCAGCAGAAAGATTATAACTCGCTGAAAGCTCAGATGATGAATAGCATTTTTTAGCAATAAAGTATTTTTTTAATTAAGGTATGGACACCACTTTTTTAGACATGATGCTGTTGCACACCGAATAGACTATAGTGTAGTGTTAACATAACTTTTATAAATGCAATGGGAAACCAAAAAATGCATTTGATTTGCTTTGTTGTGACTTCACTTTATTGTGGTGGTCTGGAGCCTGTATCAAGTTTTGAACTAACCTTGAGTGGTGCTTTTGGAACATGCGTTCTTGAAGTATAGACTCACATAAATAGAGTTTAACTGAGCGTGTCCTGGGATCAGTCTGCCTGGGTCTGAATCTTGGCTCTGACACTCACTACCTCAGTGATCTTGGGCAAGTCTCTTCTTATTTTTCCTGTGCTTCAACTTTTTTATTTGTATATTTAGGGCCATAATGAGAAATGAATGAGTTAATGCACATGAAGCACTTAGAACCTAGCAAAGTGTCGCAAAGGAATCGCGTAAGAATTCTGTGTTTTCCAGATTTCCTCAACCATGTCCTTTGGTTTTATTTGAGAAAATACAGTCTCTAACTTCTCTGGAATATGATTTTAAAATGCTATTTAAGTGATGCTTTCTCAAGTCCTATAAACATCTAATGTATTTCACAATGGCAGTCAAGTGTCTTCTTTATACCAAGAAACTTGCCTGAACTGATTCATAATTTTATGTCCGAAACCTAATCTTTCAAATGCAAAACCTCTCTTTCTGCATCTTCATTAATAAATTTAGTTACATTTTAATGTAGGTAGATAATTATATGGAGATCAGGATTCTAAAAGATACTCAGTTTTTTATTTTTTATTTTTTTTTTTAACGTTTATTTTTGAGACAGAGAGAGACAGAGCATGAATGGGGGAGGGGCAGAGAGAGAGGGAGACACAGAATCAGAAGCAGGCTCCAGGCTCTGAGCCATCAGCCCAGAGCCCGACGCGGGGCTCGAACTCACGGACCGTGAGATCGTGACCTGAGCTGAAGTCGGAGGCTTAACTGACTGAGCCACCCAGGCGCCCCTAAAAGATACTCAGTTTTAAGACAAATTCCTGAGAGGAAGGCCAAAAGCATTTGCATCTGAGTGTGATTGTTGAGGACCCTGTTTCCATACTTTTATTGTTCTTTTTAAAGTTTATTTATTTGGGGGGAGACAGAGTTTGAGCAAGGGAGGGTCAGAGAGTGAGGGAGAATTCCAAGTAGGCTCCGTGCTGTTAGCACAGAATCCAAAATGGGTCTTGAACTCACGAACCAACCGTGATATCATGACCTGAGCCAAAAATCAAGAGTTGGACACTCAACTGACTGAGCCACCCAGGTGCCCCCATATTTTTATATATAATAAGATCTCTCTCCCGAGATTCTTTTATAGATTCTATCAGACTCTATCACTCTGTCAGTGGCTGGTACATCCCATTATGTTTCTGCAATCCATAGAAGTATCAATGGGGAATTTTAATGTTCTTGTTTCATCAAAGGATTTTTAAAGCTGAATTATTCCATCCTTATGTGAGAATAGACAATATGGAAGAGTAGATAGAGCATGAACTGAAATTTCAAACACCTGGATTCTCTTCCCGCTTCTGCCATTAAGAAGATTGTGCTCTTGAGCGTGTCCCAGAATCTTCTTAGGCCCATCTCCAATAAGGGTTTGAACCAGATATTGTTTAAGGTTGTCACAGTGTGTGCTTTGCCTTGACTGACGTGTATATTTTTTTCCCCAGTTTCCTTGAAACCACTTGAAATGGCTTAGCCTGATCACCAGCCAGGGTGAGAGATAGATACATTTTATTGCTGCAAAGTAGGAAATGCCACCTGTGTCTGGAAGGGAACAAGTCCCTGGCCTTCGTGTTGTAGCATTCTGATCCAGAAGTGTTCGATTGCCTGGCGGTTGAGTAGAGACAGGCTCCCAGAGCATCATTACCCTTACCAACAGCAGACAGTTGTTTGCATTTTTCTGTTTTGCCAAAGATAAAAGAGAAATCTGAGAAGATAAATAACTTTCAAAACCGAAGATAAATAGTTTCTTACTGTAGACAAATAACTGAGTTTTCACTTGTCTCTGCTTTTTTTCTGGGGAGGCTGTGGAGGTTAAGGCACAGCTTTCTGTCTGCCTCTCAAAGATACTTTTAATTTCTCAAAGGGAAGATGAAGAAATGAGATTAACCTATTTTGTGACCTACTTCTGCTTTTCCAATTTGGGGCCTTCATTTCTATGTTAACTTACTCCATTTGAGATTAACTAGAGCTCCTTTTTTTTTTTTTTTTTTTTTTTTTTTTTTGACAGTTTTACTTCAGCACACGAAATTGAGGGGAAAAAATCATTTGGGATAAATACTTCTACAAGAGATAGTGAGCTGATATGTTATGGAACTAGCTTCTTGTCCCTAGAATCATGATAATAGGGTGGCTGAAATCCTTGTTTTAGGACTTAATGTGGAAATTTAAATTGTTGACTACACTAAATATAGATTAAGATGATATCTCAGCACTGGCGGCCAGCTTTTCTTTAATTTCATTGTTATTTCAGGAAGTAGTCTATAAAAACATTAATTTTCATCTTTTCTTTCCTTCTAGTCATGGACTCCTGCCCTGTAGGTCCTTCTGTGAGGCTGCAAAAGAGGGCTGTGAATCAGTCCTAGGGATGGTGAATGCCTCCTGGCCGGATTTCCTCACATGCTCCCAGTTTAGAGTCCAAAACGAAAGCAGCAACGTCAGCAGGATTTGCTTCTCACCACAACAGGAGAAAGGAAAGCAATGTAGGTGTCTGTGTTTCATTTCATTAAACAAAATTTTATTGAAAAATACTATTCATACAAGCACGTATACAAATAATATATACTTCAATATATTTTATGAAAGTGATCAGATCCTTATAAGCAGCACCCAGATTAAGAAATAGATCACACCAAACTTATACATAAATGTTCATAAGTGGCATTGTTTATGGTAACCAAAAAGTGGAAACAACCCAAATGTTTTTCAACTAATGTATGGATTTTTAAAAAAATAGTATATTCATACAGTGGAATAGTAATTGACAGTAAAAATGCACGAAGTACTGATACATGCTACAACACGGATTAACCTTGAAAATATTAGGTAAGTGGAAGAAGCAAATCACAAAAGGTCCAGCATCCCAGAAAATCTCTCAAGCCCCCTTTCAGTCGTCTGAAAGAAACCCAAAAGTAACCTCTCTTCTAAGAGAAGCAATCTAAGGTGACTTCTGCCATCTTAGATAGGCTTGCCTACTTTTGAGATTCATGTCATTGGAATTGAGCAGGATGGACTCCTTTTGTATCTAGCTTCATTTGCTCAACATTATGTTTGACAGATTCGTTATGTTTTCACCTTTGTGGTTCCTTCATTCTCATTGTTGTATAGTATTCTAATATATGGTTATATCCCAATATATTTTTTCTATTCAGTTGTTGATAAATGTTTGAGTTGTTTCTAACTATTATGAATAGTGACGCCGTGACTATTCTTGTACATGTCTTTGAACATGCTCATATGTTTATTCAGCAGAGTTTTTTAAAGTGGTTGTACCCATTCATCCTCCTACCAGCTATGTTTAAAAGTTGCAGTTGCCCCAAATCCTCCCCAGCACTTGTTGCTGTCTTTTTCATTTTAGCAATTCTCATGGTGCTGTGATCTTTTGTGGTTTTAAGTTGCATTTTCCTGATGAGTTAGATTGATTTTTCTGAAACTTTTAGTTGTGTGAATGTTCCTTTTTGTGAAGTGTCTGTCCAAGTATTTTGTCCAATCTTTGATTGGGAAGTCTCCCTTTTTGTTCTTGATTTGCATTTCGTTATGCATTCTGGATATGTCAACTCTTGGGAATATGTATTGTGACTATCTCCCACTTGGTTGGCTTGCTTTTCTTATTAGTGTCTATTGTGGAATAGAAGGTTGTAATTTTAATGGGTCCATATTATCAACCCTTTATTTTGTGATTCATTTTTGATATCTTATATAAGACATCTTTGCCTACATCAAAACATAGAAGCTTTCCCCCACCCCACCCCCCATGTTTTCTTCTTGGAGCTTTATTGTTTCAGTATTAACGTTTATACCTAAAATATTCTGGAACTAATTTTTGTGTATGGTGTGAGCTATGGATTAACTTTTTTTTTTCCTGCACATATATTTAATTGACCCCACTGCCCTTTATTTATTTGGAGTACTGTCTTTCCCCTCTGCACTGTAATGTTACCTTTGTTATCAGTCAAGTGATTGATTATATGTACATATATATCTAGACCCTCCATTTGACATAGAATTAAGCCAATACCACTCTGTCTGGACCACTGTAATTTTATAATAAGTCTTTAAATTTAATAGTGTAAGTCTTTCAGCCTTTTTCTTCTTAAAGATGGTTTGCCTATTCTTGGCCCTTCCATTTTATGTAAATTTTCAAATCACCTTGCAGTTGCCACAAATGCCTTTTGTTTTCTTTTGTTTTGTTTTGAATTGGGATTGTATTAAATCCATAAATCAAACTGGGGAGAATTGCTTTACAACATTGAGGCCTCCAAACCATCAAAATGATATACTATGATAATCTTTAATTAAGTATTTTAATGACTTACTCCTTAAATTTTGTCAAAAATGTTTGGTAATTTCAACCAGAAAGATATTACACATCTTCCCTTAGATTTATTCATGGGTATTTGATATTTTTGATGTCATTGTAAATAGAAACTCAAAAAAATTTTTTTTCTGTTTGTGTAGAAATAAATCACATATTGATTTTTATAACTCTCATTTGGATTTTCTAAGTACACATTATGTCATCTACAAATGGCAGTTTATTTTCTCCTTTCTAATCATTGTGCTTTCTGTTTTTCCTCTGTCAGAGAAAGGTTTCAATATTTCACCTTTAATTATAATGTTTGCAGAAAGACTTTATGGATATCTGTGTCAGATTAAGGAAGTAAGTCCTTTCTATTTCTGGTTTGCTAAGGTTTTTTTTTTTTTTTAAATCATGAATAGTTGGGGAGCCTGGGTAGCTCAGTCGGTTAAACATCCAACTTCGGCCCAGGTCATGATCTCACAGTTCATGGATTCGAGCCCCGCGTCGGGCTCTGTGCTGACAGCTTAGAGCCTGGAGCCTGCTTCGGATTCTGTGTCTCCCTCTCTCTCTGCCCCTCCCCAGCTCATGCTCGCACTCTGTCTCTGTCAAAAATGAATAAACTTGGGGCGCCTGGGTGGCGCAGTCGGTTAAGCGTCCGACTTCAGCCAGGTCACGATCTCGCGGTCTGGGAGTTCGAGCCCCGCGCCGGGCTCTGGGCTGATGGCTCAGAGCCTGGAGCCTGTTTCTGATTCTGTGTCTCCCTCTCTCTCTGCCCCTCCCCTGTTCATGCTCTGTCTCTCTCTGTCCCAAAAATAAATAAACGTTGAAAAAAAAAATTAAAAAAAAAAATGAATAAACTTAAAAAAGAAAATCATGAGTAGTTTTTGAATTTTATCAAATGCATTTTCTACACTTGTGAGATGATACGACTTTCTCTATATTATGTTAAAAACATAATATTTAGTGATTATATAATGCATATGCCATAACATTCACTCTCTAACATGTATAATTAACTGTTTTTTCGTATACTTGGAGAGTTGTGCAACCCTCACAGCCATCTAATTCCAAAATATTTTTATCACCCAAAAAAGAAACCCCATACCCATTATCAGTAGTGCCATTTTCTCCTCTCCTACTCCCTGGAAACCACTAATCTACTTTCTGATTCTATGGATTTGCCTATTTTGGCCATTTTGCATAAATGGAGTCAGACGATATGGGACCTCTGGTGATTTGCTGCCTTCATTTGGCAGTCTTCAAGGTTTATCCATGTTGCAGTATGTATCAGTACTTCATGCATTTTCATTGTCAATTACTATTACTTTTTATGAACATACTATTTAAACGTTTTTTTTTTAGCTTTTATTTATTTTTGAGAGACAGAGAGAGACAGAGGGCAAGTGGGCGAGGGGCAGAGAGAGGGAGACACAGAAACCGAAGCAGGTTCCAGGCTCTGAGCTGTCAGCACAGAGCCTGACGCGGGGCTTGAACCCACAATCTGTGAGATCATGACCTGAACCGAAGTCCGGCGCTTAACCGTCTGAGCCACCCAGGCACCCGATTATACTATTTTTTTTTAACCCAAACATTAATTGAGGAACATTTAGGTTGTTTCTACTTTTTGTTTATTATGAATGATGATGCTACAGTGGACTTTCATGTGCAAGTTTTATGTGAGTATATGTTTTCAATTCCCTTGGGTATGTATCTTGGAGTAGAATTGCTGTGACTAGTAATGACTGTTTAACATTTTGAGGAAATGCCAGTCTCTCCAGCAGTGTAGAAGGGTTCCAGTTTCTCTGCATCCTCACCAACACTTTTTATCCTTTTTGATTGTAACCATCCTGGTGGGTAGGAAGTGATATTTCATTGTGGTTTTGTTTTACATGTTGCTAATGACTAATTATGGACTTAATTCAACATTTCATGAGCTTGTTAGCCATTTGTATGTCTTTTTAGAAATATATTTTCAAATATGAGGTCCATTTTAAAACTAGGTAATTTGTCTTTAAATTGTTGAATTAGGGGTGCCTGGGTGGCTCAGTCGGTTGAGCACCTGACTTCGGCTCAGGTCATGATCTCCCGGTTTGTGAGTTCGAGCCCTGTGTCAGGCTCTGTGCTGACAGCTCGGAGCCTGGAGCCTGCTTCGGATTCTCTGTCTCCTTCTCTCTCTGCCCCTTCCCCACTCATGCTCTGTCTCTCTCTCTGTCTCTCAAAAATGAATAAACATTAAAAAAATAATACAAAAATAAAATAAATTGTTGAATTGTAAGAATTCTTCATCCACTCTGGATACAAGCCCATTATCAGATATATTATTTGCAAATATTTTCGTATGTTCTGTGGAGTGTCTTTTCAAATGATTTTCCTGTTTCTTTTTTTTCTCCAAGTGATTTTCAAGTGACTTTTCTTTTTTTTTTTTTAATGTTTATTTATTTATTTTGAGAAAGAGCTAGAGAGAGCACAAGCATGAGAGGGGCAGAGAGAGAGGGAGAGAGAGAATCCTAAGCAGGCTCCACGCTGTCAACATGGAGCCTGATGCAGGGCTGGATTTCACAACCATGAGATCATGACCTGAGTCAAAGTCAGGAGTTGGATGCTTAACTGAGCCACCCAGGCACCCCTCAAGTGACTTTTCTTGGTTGTGTCCTTTGAAGCACATAAGTTGTTTTTTTTTTAACTTTGAAGGAAGTTCAACTTATCTATCTTTTGTCACTTCTGGTTTTAATGTCATGTCTAGAAAGTTGTAGTCTAACCCAAGGGTGCTAATATTTACTCCTGTTTCCTTCTAAGAGTTTTAAGATTTTAGCTCTCATATGTAGGTCATCAATTCATTTTGAATTAATTTTCGTATATGGTATGAGGTAGGGGTCTAACCTCATCCAGTTATCTCAGGACCAACTATTGAAGAGACAATTCTTTCCCCATTGAATGGACTTGGTATCCTTGTCAAAAATCAATTGGCCACAGATGTATGGGTTTATGTATGAAATCTCAATTCTATTCCATTTATTGATATGTCTATTCTTATGTGAGTATCCACTGTATTGATTATTATAGCTTTGCAGTAAGATTATTACTGGAAGCAAAGAAAGACATTTAAAAATGATACAAGAATCAATGCATCAAGAAGCCATAACCTAATGTCAGAGATCAGAAATATATGAAGCAAAAACTTAT